CCTGTCCCCTAACTTCCCCAATCCCTCTCCACACCCCCGCCCCCTGACAGCCCCCCCATAACTCCCAACTCATCAAAACCACTCCCTGCTCCCTGACTGCCCCCCAGGACTCCCCTTACCACCATGCCGCTTGAGCCACTGGCTCCACGTGGAGCAGGCTGCCGCGCTGCCGTGTGCATAGCCCCTCCCCCACAGAGTGCTGAGGCAGGGGGAGGGGGGAGCGGGGGAGGGGCTCTGGCTGCTGGAGGCCAATCGGAGTGGCTCAATCGGCCCCAGCCACCCTATCAGCCGCGCCGCACTCTGCATGGAGGGGAGGGCGGGGGAAATCCCGGACCTTTCTATCTTATTACCAGTTCCTCCCGGACGGCTATTTAAAGACGAAAAAGCCGGACATGTCCGGGGAAATACGGACGGATGGTAACCCTAAAAAAGAAAAACTAGGAGGAAAAAACATGGAAATTATTCATGTTATTGTACTCAGTGGCAAAAAGCAGTAAACGGGGAAACAAAGGGATAAAAAAAATTGAAATTTTGAAAATTTTTCAGCTTTTTAAAACCAAAATGAAAACTTCAGTTTGAAATGAAAATAAACATTTTGTTCATTCTGAAATTTCCTGTCAAAAAACTGATTTTTATTTATTATTTATTTGCAAAAGACATTTTCCGATGGAAAAAAATTATTTTCTATTAAATCCCATTTTGCTACAAGACATTTCTGTGGTTGAAAAATTTCGACCAGCTCTAGTTGAAAGACCTAAAGGAGAAACTACTGTTAGCTAAACAAATTACACTCACATTATCAATGGAAATATTTGAATTATTAAAACTCTTTTCTTAATGATCCATTTTCCTGTTTATACTCAATTAAAGCAGAACAGTTTTTTTTTTCTACAATGAGAATAAATAAGTATCAGAGGTGTAGCCATGTTAGTCTGGATCTGTAAAAGCAGCAAAGAGTCCTGTGGCAACTTATAGACTAACAGCCGTATAGGAGCATGAGCTTTCGTGGGTGAATACCCACTTCTTCGGATGCACCTGACGAAGTGGGTATTCACCCATGGAAGCTCATGCTCCAATACGTCTGTTATTGAAGTGTCACGAGAGGAGGTTTTGGAATTAATTGATAAACTTAACATTAACAAGTCACCGGGACCAGATGGCATTCACCCAAGAGTTCTGAAAGAACTCAAATGTGAAGTTGCGAAACTGTTAACTAAGGTTTGTAACCTGTCCTTTAAATCAGCTTCTGTACCCAATGACTGGAAGTTAGCTAATGTAACGCCAATATTTAAAAAGGGCTCTAGAGGTGATCCCGGCAATTACAGACCGGTAAGTCTAACGTCTGTACCGGGCAAATTAGTCGAAACAATAGTTAAGAATAAAATTGTCCGACACATAGAAAAACAAACTGTTGAGCAATAGTCAACATGGTTTTTGTAAAGGGAAATCGTGTCTTACTAATCTATTAGAATTCTTTGAAGGGGTCAACAAACATGTGGACAAGGGGGATTCAGTGGACATAGTGTACTTAGATTTCCAGAAAGCCTTTGACAAGGTCCCTCACCAAAGGCTCTTATGTAAATTAAGCTGCCATGGGATAAAAGGGAAGGTCCTTTCATGGATTGAGAACTGGTTAAAAGACAGGGAACAAAGGGTAGGAATTAATGGTAAATTCTCAGAATGGAGAGGGGTAACTAGTGGTGTTCCCCAAGGGTCAGTCCTCGGAATGATCCTATTCAACTTAGTCATAAATGATCTGGAGAAAGGGGTAAACAGTGAGGTGGCAAAGTTTGCAGATGATACTAAACTGCTAAAGATAGTTAAGTCCAAAGCAGACTGTGAAGAACTTCAAAAAGATCTCACAAAACTAAGTGATTGGGCAACAAAATGGCAAATGAAATTTAATGTGGATAAATGTAAAGTAATGCACATTGGAAAAAATAACCCCAACTATACATACAATATGATGGGGGCTAATTTAGCTACAACAAGTCAGGAAAAAGATCTTGGAGTCATCGTGGATAGTTCTCTGAAAATGTCCACGCAGTGTGCAGAGGCGGTCAAAAAAGCAAACAGGATGTTAGGAATCATTAAAAAGGGGATAGAGAATAAGACTGAGAATATATTATTGCCCTTATATAAATTGATGGTACGCCCTCATCTCGAATACTGCGTACAGATGTGGTCTCCTCATCTCAAAAAAGATATACTGGCACTAGAAAAGGTTCAGAAAAGGGCAACTAAAATGATTAAGGGTTTGGAACGGGTCCCATATGAGGAGAGATTAAAGAGGCTAGGACTCTTCAGCTTGGAAAAGAGGAGACTAAGGGGGGATATGATAGAAGTATATAAAATCATGAGTGATGTGGAGAAAGTGGATAAGGAAAAGTTATTTACTTATTCCCATAATACAAGAACTAGGGGTCATCAAATGAAATTAATAGGCAGCAGGTTTAAAACAAATAAAAGGAAGTTTTTCTTCACGCAGAGCACAGTCAACTTGTGGAACTCCTTACCTAAGGAGGTTGTGAAGGCTAAGACTATAACAGAGTTTAAAAGAGAACTGGATAAATTCATAGTGGTTAAGTCCATTAATGGCTATTAGCCAGGATGGGTAAGGAATGGTGTCCCTAGCCTCTGTCTGTCAGAGGGTGGAGATGGATGGCAGGAGAGAGATCACTTATAATAATAATAATTAATAGAGATATCCCATCTCCTAGAACTGGAAGAGACCTTGAAAGGTCATTGAGTCCAGCCCCCTGCCTTCACTAGCAGGACCAAGTACTGATTTTTGCCCCAGATCCCCAAGTGGCCCCCTCAAGAATTGAACTCATAACCCTGGGTTTAGTAGGCCAATGCTCAAACCACTGAGCTATCCCTCCCCCCTTGATCATTGCCTGTTAGGTTCACTCCCTCTAGGGCACCTGGCATTGGCCACTGTCGGTAGACAGGATACTGGGCTAGATGGACCTTTGGTCTGACCCGGTACGGCCTTTCTTATGTTCTTATGTTAGTCTATAAGGTGCCACAGGACTCTTTGCTGCTTTTAATAAATAAGTAATAATCTTTCATGGAAGGGAAGATGTTTCTCACTATTCTTCTTCTGTTAGACTAAGCAGAGTATCAATAATGTCTCTCTACACATTTGCCTCTGAGTAATAACAGCACCTACCAGTAGTTCCTGGCTTGTATTTTCCCCACTCAATTTATACGACAGAATCTCCTCTCTCTCTTTCTTCAAACTCTCCAAACGGCTCTGAATTTGGTCCTAATAAAAGAAAAACTGGTTTTGTTTTGGTTGCTTTTGGATGGTTTTTCCCTCCATTTTATTTACATTTTCAAGAATATTAAATATATAATAAAATGGGTGAGTGCTCTAACCACCTGGCTATAGAGCAGAGGTGGGCAAACTACAGCCCGCAGGCCACATCTGGACCGTGGGACCATCCTGCCTGGCCCTTGAGTTCCCGGCCGGGGAGGCTAGCCCCCGGCCCCTCCCCCACTGTCCCCCCTTCCCCGCAGCCACGCCGCCGTGCGGGCAGCGCTCTGGGTGGCAGGGCTGCACGCTCCTGCCGAGCAGTGCGGCAGCGTGTCTGGCCCCGGCCGAGCGGCGCAGCTGCCAGACATGCTGCTCTGAGGGGCATGGTAAGGGGGCCGGGGGGTTGGATAGGGGCAGGAGGTTCTGGGGGGCAGTCAGGGGACAGGGAGCAGGGGGGTTGGATGGGGGTGGGATCCCAGGGGGGCAGTTAGGGGAGGGGATCCCAGGAGGGGGCGATCAGGGGGCAAGGAGCAGGGGGGGTTGGATGGATCAGAGATTCTGAGGGGGGCATTCAGGGGGCAGCCCTCCATACAGTTTTGCAACCCCGATGTGGCCCTCGGGCCAAAAATTTTCCCACCCCTGCTAGAGTCATTCCCTCTCCCTCCCACAAATGACTCTAAGGCCTTTGCTACACTTGTGAGTTACAGTGCAATAAAGCTGTCCATAGCGCTGTACCTCACTCCCCGTCCACACTGGCAAGGCACGTACAGCGCTGTGTCTCCGTGGCTATAGGGGAGGTGGAGCACCAGCAGCGCGAGAGGAATAATGTTTGCTGTGCCTCGGCTACAACTCCTGGGTGTCAGTGTGAACGAGGAGTTAACTTACTGCGCTGTGATAATCCCCTTATCAAGTGGCCACTCTTCTCATTGTTGTGATCGGCTACAGGAAAAGCTCCGTTTCAGAGAGAAAAGCAAACATTTTGCTGTTTGCTTTGAGTGAGTGAGTGAGAAACAGCGGGGCAAGGGGGTCTGAACTTACAAGGCAACATGCTGGCACACTAGCACCCCAAAAACCCACTCTCTCTCCCCCCACATACACACAACACACTCCCTGCCACACTCCACCCCCCCATTTGAAAAGCACACTGCAGCCACTTGAATGCTGGGATAGCTGCCCATAATGCACCGCTCCCAATGCCGCTGCAAGTGCCGCAAATGCGGCCACGCCAGTGAGCTGGCAGCTGGCAGTGTGGACAGACTGCAGCGCTTTCCCTACTCCACTGTACAAAGGTGGGTTTAACTCACAGCGCTGTACAGCTGCAAGTGTAGCCACACCCTAAGTATTTATCCCCAGTGGAACAGCTTCAACAGGAAAGTAGGAGGGAGCCCTACCTCAGAATATCCCATAGAGAGGTGGCAGATCCCTGTTCAAATCCCTTCTCCTCATCAGGTGGAGGGGACTTGAACCAGTGGCCTCCCATATACCAGATGGAGTACTCTAAACACTGGGCTAAAAATCATGAGGGAGAGCTTTTTGTGTGTGAACTCACCTGAGGGGCCTGAGGCCACCTACCAGGTTAGGCCCCACACATGAGTTAGGTGGCCTAATGCTGATCTTCCTGGGGTCATAAATCGCTCTGGGGCTTAGGTGGGAGATAGGCATCTAGATGCCTTGAGCGAGGCAGCAGTGCACATGGCCAGAAGCAGAAACACAGGTGCTGAGGGAATTATTTATTGAAAAACACAGGTGCTGAGTGAGTTTAGGCACCTACAGGGCTCAGCAGGAGTTTTGTGAATTGCAGTCGAGTCTGCAATTGGGGTTTAGGCACCTGAGTACTTTTGTGAGTCTAGGCTGCACTGACAGAAAAACTAAGCTAAGGGCAGGGGCTGGACTGAGGCTTCACTTCCTCAGTGCACATGTGTTCACACTCTGCTCATGCTCACTGCGAATTTTCTGAGCAATCTCTGAACCACACTGTCATGCAGGGCACATTTTGGTATATCACCAGCCTTGGCATTTTTAAGTGGGCCTGAGAAATAATCTTATCCTCTCCCACTAAGCATAACCCATTCCTGACCACCCCACCAAGCACTGGGATTGCCTGAGAATTTAGGGGAGAGTCAGTGAGATGATACACTGGGACACATTTCAAACAGAACTAACTCAATGATACACTGAAACTGTGGGCATGTAGCATCTCTAATTCTTCTTTACCCCCCACCTCCTACACAAAAAGTGAAGCCGAACTGCTTGATCCTTGCAACCATAGTGCTTAATGTACATCAGTTACATTTTCAAGACTCTCTGCTATAAAAGGTATTTAACGTGGCTTGGTTTTTATTATGGAGAGGGACAAGAGGGAGAAAGAGGGGTGTTGTTTGGTTGAGGAGGAAAAGATGGCAAGGAATGGACATAATTCTTTCCCAGTTGCCAAAGCCTGTGTACTCCTCCCTGATCCTCCACCCTCTTGCCCCCAGATAATAGGATCCTGGATCTTCATTTTGAAAACATGGTCACCCCACCCCTGCCTCTGCAGATTTCAAGAAATGTGTTGGAATGGGCCAGCCCCCCTATCATTTCCATTCTGCATGAGAAGCAAACCCGGCATCCCCCATCCTGCAAGGATTAAAAGGAAACTGTGTGAGCTGGAACTTGTAGAGTTTCCTGCCCCTGTGTGGATTTTTCCCTGCATAGGGGATGACCTTGCTCTAGGGCACACAAATCATACCCTGCTTTACATATCCTGGTACTATTAAAGCCATACAGCCCTGCTAGCATGGATGTAGTTATACCTGTATAACAGTGTGTAGCTTATTCCTGTATGGAAAGGGAAACAAGCATTCCTGGCATCAGGCACCTTTATACCAGCACAACTTGTACTCGCACTAGGGGTTTTGCTGGTATAACTATTTTGTTTAAAAAAAAAAAAAAATCCCAGCCCCCCCCCCCTCCCCAACACAGATCAGTACAAAACTATATGCAGAGCAGGCCTTAAAAACATGTCTCCTCAACGTTCTTCCTGTATAAAATCCCTTCTGTTTCTCTACCTTGTGATTGTAGGAAACTAGTTTCATTACATTGCTGGTTTTGTATTTCTCAGATGGCTGCTCTGAACGGTTATAGACCGCCTGGCTGGGAGGCATTTGCAATGCAATAATTACTAATTATTACCTTGTAATCCGGGGCAGCCTCCTCGATAGGCACCACGGCGTGTTCTTTGTGACTGCGGGACTCTCTGCACACCAGACAGATCGGGATTTCATCCACTTCACAGAAGAGTTTCAGAAACTCCCCATGTTTTTCACACGCTTTATTCCCTTTCGGGTCTGGGAATTTTTTGGCTATTTCAACTACATTCCTCAGCTGCCGGTTGGGCTGGAATTCTCCTTCCCCGAAGGCTTCTCTGCACTGAGGGCAGGGATAGGAGGGGGAGATTTTGGACTCCTTCAGGTACTGAGTGATGCAGGCTCGGCAGAAGTTGTGCCCACACTTCAGAATCACCGGATCCTTAAAATAATCCAGGCAAATGGAACAAAAAACAGCCTCTTGGAGATCCTGTACCTGGCTTCTTGCAGCCATGATGGCATCTCCGAGAAAGAGAAAAGTAACTTTCACTTTCACTTTGCTCAGCAACGTGTCTATCCCCGATTGAAGCTGGCCTCCGCCCTTCCTGCAGCCGTCTGCCTAATTGTTAATCTCTTGTGAATGTGTTCGCTGGGCCCTGGGATCCTTCCTTCAGATCTGGAAAGGAGAAAATATAAGGAGATAAAAGAGAGGGTAAAATAAAGACTATATCGAATTCCTACATTTGTACAGATTAGACGTTAAACAAATATTTTCCCATACAGTCAGAAAACAGATTCAAGCAGGTCACTGAAGAGACAGAAGCATTTCTAAAGAAAACAAAGAGCTGACCATAAAATCCCTCATTCCATGCCCACAAAAACTGTATAGAGGTCAATGGTATTGGCAGAATTATGCCAAAATAGAACAAGAAAAGATAATTCCATTAAGATAATACTTAGCTTAAACCATCATAGTTAGAAATTATTTTTAAAAATTTCAAAACAGTGTCTGATGTGAATTAGAAACAGATCAGAGTTGCAATGTTAGTCTGACTGGGATTGTAATTTTGCTAAAGTTCTGGTGTTCTTGTTCTAATCGGGTCCACTTCTAATACAAATAAATAACAAATGTAAACATTTAAAAACTTGCTAAGAGTTATCTAAACAATTAAATTAAATATCCTGAATTATAGAGTGCCATGTTAAATCAGCTTTTTAATTTATTTGAAACATTCAACTACATTCAGTATAGCCAAAGCCATGCATTCAAAACTCATGAATCAGCCATAAAAATGAATTTTTAAAAAAAAATAATACATTTAATTTCTTTTTATTTGCCTTCTGGTTACTGAGCTGTTAGGTAACACTTGTGTCCTGTTTTCAGTAGCTCTGGTTGAAACACAGAATTTCTGTTCTGTGGGAAGTTCTGACATTTCAAAATTTATTTTGGTTCTGAATCAGAATTTAAAAAAATTGAAATTTCCCACTAAATGAAAATGTTGAAAAAAATTCATTTTGGGTCAATCAAAACATTTCATTTTGATGAAATCAAAATGTTCCGGTCTGCTTTTGACTTAACAAATAAGATAAAATTTCAAAATGAAAAGATGTTTTGAAACAAAAATTTGAACCAAGCCATTCTGAAATGTCAAAAGGAACATTTCAACATTTTTGACCTGAAACTCAAAAAAGCCATGCAAAAAATGGAATGTCGGTCAAATTATGAAGGATGAATATAAAAAACCAACACAAGCCTGTAGGGATAAAATTAGAAAGGCTAAGGAACAAAACAAGATTAAACCAGCTAGGGACATAAAGGGTAACAAGACGACATTTTACAAATACATTAGAAGCAAGAAGACGACCAAGGACAGTATAGGCCCATCAGTCCAGGAGAAGGGAAAGACAATAGCAGACAATGCAGCAATGGCTGAAGTGTTAAATGCCTTATTTGTTTCAGTTTTCAGAAAAAGAGGTTAGCCATGATCGGACAACTAACATAGTGAACATCAGTGTAAATGGAGTAAGATCGGCAGATAAAATAAGAAAAGACCAAGTTAAGAATTACTCAGGCCTGGCCTAGACTAGAATTTACTGTTGTACAGCTATGTCTCTTCAGGGTGTGAAAAATCCACACCCCTGAGAGATGTAGCTATTCTGACCTAACCCCCAGTGTAGACAGTACTAGGTCAATGGAAGAATTCTTCCAAGCTGCTGCCTCACAGGGAGGTGGATTACCTCCTACGCCAATGGGAGAATTCCTCCTGTCACCCTAGGTCAGGGGTGGGCAAGCTTTTTGGCCTGAGGACCACATCTGGGTATGGAAATTGTATGGCGGACCATGAATGCTCACGAAATTGGGGTTGGGGTGTGGGAAGGGGTGAGGGATCTGGCTGGGGATGCCGGCTCTGGGGTGGCGCCAGAAATAAGGAGTTCAGGGTGTGGCAGGGGGCTCCGGGCTGGGGCTGAGGGTTGGAGGGTGGGACAGGGATCAGTGCTGGGGCAGGGAGTTGGGACCTGGGAGGGGTCAAGTGTGCATGCTCCGGGCAGTGCTTATCTCCTCGAGCATCTCCCAGAAGCACTGGCGGGCTCCTACATGGAGGCACAGCCAGGAGGCTCTGTGTGCTGCCCCGTCCACAGGTGCTGCCCCTGCAGCTCCCATTGGCTGCAGTTCCCAGCCAATGGGAGCAGTGGGGTGGCGCTTGCAGGCAAGGACAGTGCACGCAGCCCTCTGTTGGCCCTTATGCATAGGAACCGGAGTGGTGAGACGCTGCTGCTTCTCGGAGCCGCGCAGAGCAGGGCAAGCTCCACACCCTAGCTCACCAGTGGGAGCTCGAGGGCCGGATTAAAATGGCAGACGGGCCAGATGCGGCCCACAGGCGGTAGTTTGCCCACCCCTGCCCTAGGTAGTGAAGTGCAGCTGTGCTGCAATAGCATTTTAAGTGTAGACAAGTCCTTAGACAAGTTAGCGGTCTTCAGATTGGCAGGGCCTGAGGAAATACATCCTAGAGTACATAAGGAATTGGCTGAAGAGTTCTCTGAGCCATTAGCAATGATCTTTGAGAACTCATGGAGGACGGGGGACATCCCAGAGGACTAGAAAAGGGCAAATATAGTACTTATCTATAAAAAGGGGAATAAGGACAACCCAAGGAATTATAGGCCAGTCAGCTTAATTTTGGTACTCAGAAAGATAATGGAGCAAATAATCAAACAATTTGTAAACACCTAGAAGATAAATCAGGTGATAAGTAACAGTCCACATAGATTTGTCAAGAACAAAGCATGTCAAACCAACCTAATATCCTTTTTTGACAGGGTGACAAGTTCTGTGGATGGGGGGTGGGATGCGGGGGAAGAGCTGATGTAATATATCTCAACTTTAGTAAGGCTTTTGATACCATCTCACATGACCTTCTCATAAGCAAAATAGATAAATATAGCTTAGACAAAACTACTATAAGGTGGGTGCACAACTGCTTGGAAAACCATACTCTGGGAATAGTTATCAGTGGTTCACAGTCAAGCTGGAAGGGCATACTGAGTGGGGTCCTGCAAGAAGGGCGCTATCCTGGGTCCTATTCTATTCAATATCTTCATAATAGATTTAGATCAGGGATCGGCAACCTTTCAGAAGTGGTGTGCCGAGTCTTCATTTATTCACTCTAAGGTTTTGCGTGCCAGTAATACATTTTAACATTTTTAGAAGGTCTCTTTCTAGAAGTCTATAATATATAACTAAACTATTGTTGTATATAAAGTAAATAAGGTTTTTTAAATGTTTAAAAAGCTTCATTTAAAAATTAAATTAAAATGCAGAGCCCCCTGGACCAGTGGCCAGGACCTGGGAAGTGTGAGTGCCACTGAAAATCAGCTCGCGTGCTGCCTTTGGCACCTGTGCCATAGGTTGCCTACTCCTGATTTAGATAATGGCATAGAGAGTACACTTATCAAGTTTGCAGACAATACCAAGCTGGGAGGAGTTGCAAGTGCTTTGGAGGATAGGATGAAAATTCAAAATGATCTGGAGAAAATGGGAAATGACTGCCTAGGAAGGAATACTGTAGAACAGAGGTTCTCAAACTGTGGTCTGCAGACCACCAGTGGTCTACTAGCTCCATTCAAGTGGTTCACGGATAGTTCCTTCTACGGTACAATCAACATTTGGAAAGATCATGAAGTGGTCCGCTGAGATCCCTTAGCAATTTTCAAGTGGTCCGCGAAAATAAAAGTTTGAGAACCACTGCTGTAGAAAAGGGTAGGTGATAATGGATCACAAATTAAATATGAATCAACAGCATAACAGTGTTGCAAAAAAAAAAAAAATACATCGCGGAATGATGTTTTAATAGGAGTGTTGTAAGCAAGAAACGAGAAGTAATTCTTCTAATCTACTAAGCATATATAAGGCCTCAACGAGAGTCCTGTGTCCAGTTCTGGGCACCACGCTTCAGGACAAATTGGAGAAAGTCCAATGGACAGCAACAAAAATTATTGAAGATCTAGAAAAATAACCTATGAGGAAAGTTTATAAAGAATAGGTTTGTTTAGTCTGGAGAAGAGAAGACTGAAGGGGGGCATGAGAACAGTCTTCAAGCATGTAAAAGGTTGTTTTAAAGAGGAGGGTGATAAATTGTTCTCCTTATCCATTGAGGATAGGACAAGAAGCAATGGGCTTAAATTGCAGCAAAAGCAGTTTAGGTTGGACATTAGGAAGATCTTCCTAACTGTCAGGGTGGTGAAGCACTGGGATAAATTGCCCAGGGAGGTTGCGGAGACTTTGTCATTGGAGGTTTTTAAGAGCAGGTCAGACAAACACCTGCCAGGGACGGTCCAGATAATACTTAGTCCTGCCTCAGTGCAGGGGACTGGACTAGATGACAAGTCAGGGTTCCTTTTAGTCCTACATTTCTATGATTATTCAAATGATTTGTTTCTGGGTTTTTTCAAAATAAAATTTTGAATCAACATTTTTCCACAAAACATTCGGATTTCTATGAAACAGCATTTTCCAATGGCAAATATTCCATCAGAAAGTTTCCAACCTGCTCTAGTTTTCGGGCTTTTCTTTGCAACTACAAGAGCTAGAAGCTTCTCTGCCATAGGTGGCGCCTCCCCAGACAGTTGTGGGCACTAGCCAGCCTGGGGTGGGGGCTGTCAGCCGCAGTGGGGAAGCCGTGGGTTCTGGGGGGCGCAGAAGGGGTGGGGCCTTGGGTGGAAGGGCCAGCCTCCCCCACCCAGTGGTTCACATGCCCAGGGCCGTCCCTACCCATACGCAAAGTACACAGCTGCGTAGGGCATCAGGAAATGTGAGGCACCAAATTTCCTGATGCCCTACGCAGCTGCGTGCTGCTCCAGCCCCTGGTCCGCCTCTTCCCCATGGCCCATCCCCTGCTCTGCCCCAGCCCCGCCTCTTCCCACCCCTGCTCTGCCCCAGCCCCGCTCCCACTCCACCCCTTCCCCAAAGCCCCCACCTCTTCCCGCCCCTGGTCTGCCCCAGCCCTGCCCTCACTC